GTGGTAGTGGCGGTCTAGACGCTGGCCCTCGTGGTACTATAGCGAGCGTTGTAACACCAGCGTTCTTCAACAGTATTATGAGTAAAGTTGGAAATGGTTGTCCCGCGAAAGGGTTCTACACTCGCCAGGCTTTCATCGCGGCTGCTCAATCATTCGCGGCCTACAAAGGAACCGTTGCTAAGCGTGAGATTGCAGCCATGTTGGCTCAGTTCTCTCACGAATCTGGAAGTAAGTTCACCGTAAACTACATTTACTTTTTTTTTCTATAGTTCATTATCAGAATATATATTTAAAAATATTAAGTATTTTTCGTGATTATCACAGAAATAACAATTGTTAATTTATATATAACTTAGCTATATTGTATTGTAGTTTTAGTTTTCATAGCTGTTTTTTTGTTTTGTAGAAACATAAATGACATACAAAGATTTTCTAGATTTTATAGCAAAAAAAATCAATAAATTTTCTCAGAAAAATGATAGTTTTAGTTTTATCCCATATTTATTCAATTAATTGGCATCTCTATTTCTTTCATTTTTGTAATAATATTTTTATCATAATCAAATCTCTATATCTTTCAATTTTGTAATAATTTTTTTATCTCTCTTTGATTATGCAAAAGGTTTTTGCTACAAAGAAGAAATAGCTAGAGGAAGGTACTGCTCACCGAGCACAACGTACCCTTGTCAACCAGGCAAGAACTACTACGGTCGCGGTCCAATCCAAATCACATGGAACTACAACTACGGTGCAGCCGGAAAGTTCCTCGGACTTCCTCTCCTGACGGATCCAGATATGGTTGCTCGTAGCCCAACCGTGGCTTTCAAGTGTGCCATGTGGTTCTGGAACAAGAATGTGCGTCCAGTATTGAGCAGAGGGTTTGGAGCCACCACGAGGAGGATCAACGGTGGTGAGTGTGACGGTAGGCGTCCAGCCGCGGTGCAGAGCAGGGTTAATCATTACTTAGATTTCTGCAAGAAGCTTGGGGTCACTCCTGGAACCAACCTCAGTTGTTGAAGACACTACTAGTTGATGTGGTTTTAAGCGTCGTGTTAGATTAAAGATGTCATGTGTCGAATAATAAAGATAATTGAAAAAGATCAAATAAGAGATTAGAAGTCATATATATTATGTGGTGTGTCTTAAGGTAACTAATATTATTCTGTTGTTGTATCCGCTGAACTATATCGCATTATCCAATAAACATATTGTAGAGATTACATATTGCGGAAGCAACTGATTTGGTCTTGTTATCGATTCGATCTAGTGATTACTTTTTGCAGGAACGTAAAAACACCAAGACGTAACGAGTTCCCAGCCAACGACTGGTACTTTTCGTGGGAGACTCTCCTCCCAAACTCCACTAGAAAGATGAACAAGAGCTTACACAGGCCTTATTAATGGCGGTTTAGTCTAGGGTTTACAAGAGAGATCTATATGAGATTAGAGAAGAAGAAGACTTAGAGAATTAAAGGTAAAAACCCTAAGTTGAAGAAGAAACTTGTATCTCTTGTGTTCCTCGATCAAGTCTTGATTCCTTGTATATATAAGCTCGATTTTGCTTCTTCCTTCTCCTACTCTATTTCGGATTTGTTGTAACAGATTTAACAGATACCTTGTTGGGCCAGAACCAATCCGCAAAGCCCATTACCAATCTCTCTTTCTCCTTTTGTCGCTGGGCCATAATCACCTTGAAGCCCATTTGTCCTTGTCGAGCCTCACTAAGTCCACACATATTTCCCTGTTTTTTCACACTAGATAAGCATCAAGGTTTTCAAGAAGGAAAAAAGTTCTAATCATGTAAACAATTGTTGACAAAAAAAGAGCGAACACACAAGATCCGATCATAATTTATACATAATATTGGGTTAGATTTAAACTAGTTTTTTAGCTATTGAAG